GCTATGAGTCGGAAACGACTCGACAGCACTTAACAACAACAACAACAATCCTGATGCTGCATTCTTCATATAGTCCAGCTTCTCAGATTATTTGATCAGCTTACAGGCTGAATAAGTATGATGAAAGAATACAATCCTAATGTGCACTTTTCCTGATTTTAAACCATGGAGAACCCCTTGTTCTGTTCAAATAGGTTCTATGTATAGGTTATGCATGAGCACAATGAAATGTTCTGGAATTCCTATTCTTCACAACATTATCCATAATTTGTTATAATCCATTCAGTTGATGCCTGTGCATAGACAATAAAACACAAATAACCATTTTTCTACTATTCTCTGCTATCAGCCAAGATTCACCTGACATCACCAATGACATACTTTGTTTCATACCCTCTTTTGAATCCGGCTTGAATTTCTGGCAGATTCCTGTCAATGTACTGCTGCACTGTTTTTGAATTATCTTCAGCAAAATTTTACTTGATGTGGTATTAATGATATTGTTCAGTAATTCCCACATTCTGTTGGATCACCTCTCTCTGGAATGGGCACAAATATGGATCTCTTCCAGTTGATTGGCCAGGGAGCTGTCTTCCAAATTTCTTGGCATGAACTAATGAGTGCCTCCAACACTGCATCCATTTATTGAAACATCTCAACAGGTATTCTGTCAGTTCCTGGAGCCTTGTTTTTCACCAGTTCTTTCAGTGCAACTTGGACTTCTTCCTTTAATACCACTGGTTCTCGATTATATGCTAACTCCTGAAATGGCTGAATGTCAACCAATTCTTTTTGATGCAGTGAGTCTGTGTATTCCTTCCATCTTCTTTTGATGCTTTCTGTATCATTCATTATTTTGTCCATAGAATCCTTCAATATTGCAACTCAAGGGTTGAATATTTTTCTTCAGTTCTTTCGGCTTGAGAAATGCCTTATAAGATACAGGTTTTATTTAAGAGACTTTAAAAGTGTTGTTAGAGCAGAAATACAAACATTAAGGGTTTAGTGGATAGAAAGGCTTCATTGAAATAGAGAAGCTTGAGATAACCCTGGAAAGATGGGCAAAATTCACACAGAGGATGAGCAATTCTAATGAATGATCATGACAAAGCATACTGCATGGAGATGAAAATGTGCAAGATAACTTCTGTTACAGGGAGTATACCAGTGTGGTTGAGTATAAATAAAGGAATAGTGGGAAATAAAACTAAAAGAAGTTAAATCCGTAAGACTAACAGATTCTCTCACGTTCATTCAGAGCACATTTATAGAACAGGCACTACGACGAGTTCTTTCTGGGCCAGAGGTCCACACACAGATGTTGTATCATTATAATGCACTCAAAGTGTCCCTCAGTCATCCTGTACTGCATTATGATGTACATAAATATCAATAAACCACAAGTATGAGTGAAAAGAAAACAATCAACACAAAACAACTTAACTTCAAAATTTCAGTAGCTGTTTATCTAAATTGTTTTCTCACATATACCTCGGATATGAAAAGAGCCATCATCATTTCTTTCTATCACAAGATGATCAATATGGATGGTTACAGGAACTGGGTCAAGGGATATCATACTTCTATGTGAACTGTCATCCTACAGGAGAGAGAAACAGTATTGGCATGTTGTTCTTACAGTAAATGATAAAATTAAAATAGTTATTTTCTCAAACATCACTTCAGTGATAAGGAGTTTAGTAAGAAATATATCATTACATGCTTTAGTGAGACAGAATTCTATACTAAGAAAACTGCCTGCTCTATATAGATGTTTTCTCATTTATAAGAAGGCTATCATTCACACATAGACTAACAAATTTAAGTCATTTTAATAAATGCTGATAAGAGCCTGTATTATAGAGAAGGTATATTCTTAGACATGAATCAAAATCTAGGTAGCCAAAGTGAACATTTAGAACATGTGAGTACAAAAATGTTTATTAACATACTTTTAAATTTATTTTTGTGTTAGAAATTTGTATCTTCATTGGCATCACTGCTGCAACAGTATCATCTTCCAAAAAATGTTGAATATTCATAAGAGTAGATGTTAGAAACTCAGTGCTAAAATTTGCTATATGGCATTGTAGATACCCATTTTTTTCTGCAAGCAAAGAGTGTATTACAGCACCAGGTCCACTCTCAAATTTCAGGGTAATCGTAGGAGAGGATTTGGAATGAATTACAGCTTTTTGAGCTGAGCCTATGAAAAACGAACACAAAAATTTTAACGTGTTAGCATTGCTCAAAAATTATTATTCTATTATTTGTCATTAAGAGGTTATTGTAAATTTGTAAAATATTAAAGTAATAATAGATCAAAAGTTTTCATATTTACCCCTGACTTAATATTTACTGACTTTCTAGTATTTTTCCTTATTTTCTATTATATCTTACTTATAGAAGAGAGTACATCATGGTATATCTCTGATATGATATACATCTCTGGTACTTAGGGTATGTTTGAGTGTGTACCAACAATATACACATATATACACACACACAACCACACATATATTCTAGAGAGTGGAAAGATAAAAATAATTTTAAGCAAAAAGTTTTCATTTTGGAGCAGAATAAAACAAAAACTTCATTAGTCAAAATCACTCCCCCACTTCCTCTAATGCCACGGAATTATATTTTGGGTCTCCTACTGAACCCGTTGCCATCAGGCCCATTCTGACTCACAGCAACCCCACAGGACAGCGCAGAACTGCCCCCACAGGATTTCCAAGGCTGTAATCTTTACAGAGGTAGACTGCCTCATCTTACTCCTATGGAGTGGCTGATGGGTTCAAACTGACAACCTTTCAGTTAGCAGCCAAGCACTTAACCACTGCATCGAAAGTATCCAAAATATCACACTGCATAGAAAACAAACACCTTGGCAATATTAACTGTTCATGTTAGAGTGACAACAGGGTATGTAAACTGTAGTTCAAACACTTAGTATGGCATAATTATGGGTTGAAATGTTCAATCTATGCTGTTGTTTTTCCTCCCCTTTTCCACTTCCATGTTCTTGTTCCTTTATCTTTTTTTTGGTTCTCTTCAAATAACCAACTGAGACACTTTGGAAAAAAGAAGGTACTAGCTAGCACTGACTAGATAACCCATAAACAGTCATTTCAGAATGATTTCTTTGATTAAGAACAAAATGAAACAAAGTAACTGGAAATAATCTAAGAGTAATATAATTTGAAAAGTGGTTGACTGGGTATACAACAGAGTCTAGGTTTCGAAACTTTATGTTTAATCATTTTTTCCTGTTTTTTTTCCTCCCCCCTACTAAAATCTTTCTAAATATATACTTAGCTTCTCCCATTTTGCATTCTATTGGAATTTAGACTTGCTAATAAAAAATTCTCAATTTCTTTTAAAGAAGCTTCGATGGCATAATGTGTTACACACTTGGTTGCTAACCAAAACGCTGGTGGTTCGAACCCATCAGCCACTTCGTAGGAAAAAAAGACCTGGCAATATGTTCCTATAAAGATTACAGCCTAGGAAACCCTATGAGGCAGTTCTACTCTGTCTTCAATGGTCCCTATGGGTCAGAATTGATTTGACAGCACACAACAACAGAAAAATCTCAAATGTTTTTTAACACATTGTAAACTTCAAGGCCTAAACATAAAAAAGTTAGGAGCCTTTCTCCCCACCCCCCCCCCCCCGTGATGCTGGTTTATGGACAATGGCACATTCACCTGCAATTCTCAGGATATGAGGTAATAGAATATTTATCTGATGTCATGCAGGGCTGTATTTATTTCAAGAAGTTACGTATCAGATATAGTACCCTGTGTATATAGCAAATAAAAATATTATAGCTCAGTGAGTTGTTAAAAGATTAAAAAAAAAACAAGCCTGTGGTGCAGTGGATTACTTAGCATAGCTGTTCTAGCCATGGTCTTTGTGATTCCCACCAGAAGACTGGGACGACTAGGCAATGTGAGGTGCTTTGTGGCCTACCAAGGGTACTGGATAGCTTGTTAGTAATAAATAAGGCACATAGCACCCTTGTGGAGGTGGAGCCATGGAAATAAGGTATGTGGAACGCTAATGTGGGGATTGGTCAGTTTTGCCATCTCACTAGACTTAATACAAACCAACCCAGAGTCAGAAAAGGGGGATCTCGTTATCAGCAGGAAAGATCAGCCAGGAGTATAACACATACTTGGACTTGAGATCCCTGCGCCAGACCTCCTGGGTAGAGAGATGGCAGAGAGATGGCAGCAGCAACAGCAGCAGAGCCAAGAGACCAGCATGAGACAAAGCGACAGGCTTGCTTGCCCACTGAGCAAGAAAGCTGAGTACCTTTGGGCAGGATGCTTGCTGGCAGAGTGGGGTGCACCCAGGTGCTCCTACTGGCAGAACTAAAAGAGCTTTGTAATACTTGCCTGCATGGGGCGGAGGCCAGGCTGAGAGGTCAAGGGCCAAAGAGAGTCATGCCACTGGGCATGGCCAAAGGGAGGTTGTCTTGACCAAAGAACTATATCCTGAGTGTTCCTAAACCTGAATTGTGATCTGTTACTTCCCTCCCATTATCTGATTCTTGTCTGTGAGTTCTGTGTGGCCACTGCAACTATTATTGAACCCAGCAGAGAAGTAGAGTGCTGTGGGAGGGACAGTTGGTGTCAGAACTGGTGACAAGGTTGGAAGTGTATCTAGCCTCACAGGAATAAGCGTTGGGCTGCTGATACTGTTCTGGATCCTTCTTGCCTGTTGTGAAGTTAGAGGTCAGAAGATGCTCCCCGCCCACCAATGTCCTTTTTGCAATATTGTTATTTTAAAGCCTTAATATGACTATTCTAATAAATTCATTTCTTCAAATGAGTGAAGGTCATAAGTAACTCCATGTAAACACTGAAAAAAGGATGGTTAATGTGGTTTCCTCTTCACATACTACATGTTTTATTACTTAAAGCCCTGTGTCCAAGTCAATGTATTAATCCTAGAATGAAGGAGTAAAAGAGCAGAATACATGTTTTTTTCCATATACCAAATACTATGGCAGCATAGAAAATATTTGCTTATAAACAAGACAAGGGACTGCAGAAATTGACACTTAATCCAGTGTAAAGTAAATCTGACCTAGGATTACTTTAAGGAAGTCTGGTGAAGTAGTGGGTAAAGCATTCAGCTGAAGGCATTTGGCTGCTAACCAGAAGGTCAATGGTTCAAACTCACCAGCTGCTCTGTGGGAAGATGAGGCAATCTACTTCTATAGAGATTTACAACCTTGGAAACCGAATAGGGGTCATTATGAGTCGGAACTGACTAGACTGGAGTGGGTGGTGGTGTACTGGTTAAGACATTTGGCTGCTAACCAAAAGGTCAGTGGTTCAAAACCACCAGCGGCTCCAAGGAAGAAAGATGAGGCACAGTCTACGTCTATAGATTTACAACCTTGGAAACCCAATGGGGGTTCCTGTAAGTCAGAATCAACTCAATGGCATTGAGTAAGTGTGAGTGAGGATTACTTTATCACTCTTTTCATATAGAAAAGAGCTTCATTTTCTGAGATCCATTAACTCAAGGAATGGAAAGACTGAAAAAGTCAAAGATTCTGAATTTATCAACAGCATAAACCAAAAGTAAGTAAAGAATTTGTCTTAAATTATATATTTCTAATAACTTAATCAAAATGCTTCATGGCAATAATCTGGAAAAAAACATTATTATCATGAATAAATGCAAGTTTCCCTGAATTCAATTATGTGAAAGATAGAATTGGTGATGAGTTATATGTATAAAGAACAAAAGTTTAAAGTATATTAAAATATCTTGTATGAAAGTCATAAAAACTGTAAAAAGACTACATAATCTTACCTACTGAACGATTCCCAAGGTAATGCCGAAAACTGATATTGCCTAGCTGATCTGGTGTCACCTGGTCCACCTGAAGACAGATTTCAGTATCTTCCCCTCGGATGTCAATTTCCCCATTAACACCGGTAATTTTAAATACCACAATTGACATCTATTAACGATTGTATAAATAATATTAGTATAACAAGGAATTTAAAACAAAGTTTAGAAACTAATAAAGGAGACTACTGCAACCTCTAAAAATAAAACCGTGATCAAATCAACCAAAATACATACTTTTGATCAACAGAATGTGACTGTTGTGTTACCATGAAAACTTTATCTCTGTTTCTGTTTACTCAGCCAAAAGGATTTTTCAGGTTACAGAGGCATTACGTGACATTTGCATTTAAGAGTTTTCACTAAAAACTGGACATAACATATTTTCTAAGTTTCCTGAAAGAGTATTTTACTGAGTAAGAAGGGCTGAAAATAAATCAGTAAACATCTTTTCTTTTGTAGAAAGCCTCTTATTAAAAGGACTGACCACATTCCTGGACATCAAACTTTTTCAAAGTATATTTAAACTGAATTAAAATAAAGTTAGAAAAATAAGACAGGATGGAAAAAGAAAGGAAGAACTCCTCTACCCCAACTATCAATAAAACAAATTTAGAAAACTGAATTGTAGCCAAAATCAATTCAGAAAAAGGGAAGAAAGGACTTCTAAGAGAAGAAGAAGAAAATGAATCTACCACCTAAGTCAATTTATTTTATGTATTAACTTAAGGTGCTCAAATAGGTACATATTAAATATGAAATAAATGAAGTTGGCAGCATTTCTCTTCATACAATCTCTCAGAAATGATTACCAAGTCATCATGGTTTTCTTGAGCACCCTCTGAATTTGTACTGATGGCATCTGGAGAGGTTTCGCCGTAATTCTGTACGTTTGCACTGGTGGTCATACTCTCTGCTGGGCTCTGGTAATTTGTAACTGAGTTCTTTTTAATACCTGAAATAACACAAAGTAAATGAATAAATTAAAATCAGTTTTACACATGATTCCAACAATGTTATGTTTATCTAACCAAGAAGGACACACCCTTCAATACTTTCTCGAGTATCCTGTTGTTTAAAAAACAATAAGCAAAGCAAAGTCAGGTTGTAATTAGTTAGCAAATAATGAGAAGTAACTTCCCAGAATAAAATGTTACAGATATGCACTGCATTGTATATGTGTGAGATGGTGTGTGTTTCGTAATGTATACTTTCATCGCAATTTGGAGGAAAAAAAAAAAAAAGTTACAGGCTCTAAATTTAGGATGAAAAAAATCAAACACCACTAACCACACAGCCTGAGTTCCTTTCCCTGACTGACAGGCAATGCAAGCCTGATATAAAGCTTTGCCCCACAACCGTCTAATCCAGCCTACACTGAACAGTCCTAGTCTGCCACTTCATTTCCTTTGACATAGTGGTTAAAGCATTTGGATGCTAACCAAGAGGTGGGAAGTTCAAACCTACCCACCACTCTGCAGGAGAAAGATGAGCAGTCTGCTTCTGTAATGATTTAGTTTTGGAAACCTTGTAGGGCAGTTTTGCTCTATCCTATAGGGTCTCCATGAGTTAGAATTAACTCGATGGCAGTGGATTTAAGTTTTTGATTTTAATAACTCCTAATTATCTTTTACACTAAAAGACTACTATTTATTGTCAATGTGACCATTCTCCTTCCTTATCCTTATCTACCTACCTTAATTATTCAGTGTGCTCTACCTTCAATGCTTCTCAAATTATCTGTGGTAAAAGACAAATTGAAAAAATTTTTTTCCTGAACCTATCACAGATCAATACTTAAAGTGGAGATTTACATGCACAAATTTTCATTCTGTAATCTCTCATTTTTTTTAAACAATATTATTTATATATCTCTTATAAAATTAAAAAGGGTCTGCCACCAATGAAGCTCAATCCCCTGCCACAAAGATAAAATTATTATGAATTCAAAAAAACAAGGAATGTATAGTTACATATCTTTTAAATGTTACACACAAAGCCAAAGCTCTTATGGGCATCAAGATTCTTGAAACAGTCTACTGCTGGAATCTATTCTAAAGCAGTAACTGGAAATGTAAATAAAAATATTTAAAGAAAGATATTAATTACAGCATTTTATACCAATAAAAAGTTATAAACAATCTAAACATCCAACATTAAGGAAAAGATTAAAAGGCCATAGTACATTCATTCTTATGGCAATTTTATGTAGACCCTAAAAATATTTTTCAAAGGAGTTTAAATATTACAAAATGCTTACAAATAATAAGCAGGTAACAAACCATATATATAATATGACACCAAATACACAAAGATAAGGATACATCTCCAAATTACCAATAATAATTGGTATTTCTAGACTATGGGAGTTCCTGGTGATTTTGTTTTCTAATTTGTAGTTGTCTGTATTTTCCAGTTTTCTATGTTGAATTGTAATTCCTTTTACTTGTTACTTAATTTTGAGAAATAGTCATGAGAAAATCACCAATTTCCTTTGAGAATAAGTAGGGACAGTTTCCATAGAAACACTGTTTTTAAAGTATATTTTGACCATAGGAGGAAATACACTGTTAAAGTAGAGTTTTAAGTGATAAGGCAGAGAGCTATGTGGGAATCCAGAAAAGATTTTATGACACGTATCAGAGGCTCTTCTACATTTAACTGGTAGAGTGTGCTGGAAAGGAGATTACTATGAATTGTCTATACTGAAGTCAGATTAGAGATTTTTATTTACGTATGATAATTATTCCCCAAATCTGGGGAATTAGTATAGCAGACTGATTGGTTACAGCTTGAGCTTTAACTGGTTCTATAACTTTGGATAACTACCTAGTTTCTCTAAGCTTTAGTTTAGAGAATAAAAACAATAACTACCTCACATGGTTGTTTTAAGAAATGACCCAAACAATGTACTTTAAAGCAGTTGCCAGGTTGACTAATGGTGTTCAGTAAGTGTTTGCTATTGCTATTATTAAGTATTATTTACCATGTAAGGTAGACTGACTATAATCTTCCACCAGGTTAGAGTAAATGGGGATCAGTAAAGGGCTTTTTTTCTGACTTTTATGTATAGAATGATTCTGGTTAAGATGATATGTTTTGGGGTCAGACAGAAGAGCTTAGACTATGAAGTCTGATTGCCTGGGCTCAAATGCTAACTCTTCTACTTGTTAGCTGTGTGATCTTAGTCAAGCTCCTTAAATTCCCAGGCTTTGGTTTCCTCATGTTCAAAATGGTGATAGTAATAGTTCCTACCTCAGAAACACCTGAAGATTAAATAATACATGAAAAATGCTTAAAACAGTAATTGGTACAGTGAGTATCTAGTAAATGTTAACTGAAAACAGACAACAAAAAGGGCAATCCAACTCTACCTACAATGGTGTAACTGTAGGCAATCACTTAATCTGTAATAGCCTCAATTTCCATGTCTAAAACAAGGATAATGATACATACTTACTCCTCACGGGACTGAGGCAATTCTCCTATACAGCTAGTTAATAGTATAGACTCTAGAGCCAGAGTACCTGATGTAAATCATTTACTAGCTATATAACTTTGGTTTATTTAGCCTCTTTGAAAACAATAGTACACAGTAATGGAATTGTGAGATATATATATATATCACATACAATAGCACTACTATATGTTGTTGTTGTTGTTATGTGCCGTCAAGTTGGCCCCGACTCATAGCGACCCCTCCTTGGGTTTCCGAGGCAGTATCACTACGGAAGTAGGATTGCCCAACCTTCCTTCCGATAGTAAATGCTTAATAAATGTTTGCTACTACCATGGGTTTATAGTTCAAAATAAATGAAAATTTATAGTTTAAATTAAACACCTGCAAAAGTAGTTATTATTACAGTGTTGTTGTTGTTAGGTGCCGTCGAGTCAGCTCCAACTCATAGTGACCCCGTGTACAACAGAACGAAACACTGTCTGGTCCTGTGCCAGCCTCACAATCCTTGCTGCACTTGAGCCCATTGTTGTGACCACTGTGCCAATCTATCTCGCTGAGGGCCTTCCCCTTTTCCATTGACCCTCCACTTTACCAAGCATGATAACCTTCTCCAGGGAATGGTCTCTTCTGACAACATGACCAAAGAAGGTGAGACAAAGTCTGGCCAATCTCACTTTCAAGGCGCACTCCGGCTATACTTGTTCAGGAGAGATTTGTTAGTTCTTTTAGCAATTGATGGTACCTTCAGTATTCTTCACCAACACCACAACTCAAAAGCATCAACTCTTCTTCTGTCTTCCTTATTCACTGTCCAGTTTTCACATGCATCTGAGGTGACTAAAAATACCATAGCTTGGGTTAGGTGCACCTTAGTCTTCAAGGAGACATCTTTGCTCTTCAGCACTTTAAAGAGGTCTTTTGTAGCAAAATTTGTCCAGTGCAATATGTCGTCTGTTTTCTTGACTACTGCTTACATTAGTGTTAACTGTGGAACCAAATAATATGAAATCTTTGACAACTTCAAACTTTTCTCCATTTACCGTGATGCTGCTTCTAAGTCCAGTTGTGAGGATTTTTGTTTTGTTAATGTTGAGGTGTAATCCATACTGAAGACTTTAGTCTTTGATCTTCACCAGTAAGTGCTTCAAGTCATCTTTACTTTCAGCAAGCAAGGTCATGTCATCTGCACATCGCAGGTTGTTAATGAGTCTTCCTCCAATCCTGATGCCATGTTGTTCTTCATATAGTCCAGCTTCTCAGATTATCTCAGCATACAGAGTGAATAAGTATGGTGAAAGGATACAACACTGATGCACTCCCTTCCTGATTTTAAACCATGCAGTATCTCTCTGTTCTGTTTGAACGACAGCCTCCTGGTCTCTGTATAGGTTCCTCGTGGGTACAATTAAGTGTTTTGGAATTCCCAAATTTCTCAATGTTATCTATGATTTGTTATGATCCACACAATCGGATGCTTTTGCACAGTCAATAAAACACAAGTAAACATCTTTCTGGCATTCTTTGCTTTCAGCCAAGATCCATGTGACATCAGCAATGATATCCCTTGTTCCACGTCCTCTACTGAATTCAGCTTGCATTTCTGTAAGTTCTCTGTTAATATACCACTGCAACCATTTTTGAATGATCTTCAGCAAGATTTTACTCACATGTGATATTAATGACATTGTTTGATAATTTCCACATTCTGTGGGATCATCTTTCTTTGGGATGAGTACAAATCTGGGTCTCTTCCAGTTAGTTGGCCAGTCAATGCCAAATTTCTTGGCATAGATGAGTGAGTGCCTCAAACATGGCATCTGTTTGTTGAAACATGTTAACGGGTGTTCCATCAATTCCTGGAGCCTTGTTCTTTGCCAATTCCTTCAGTGCAGCTTCAACTTCTTCCTTTAGAACTACTATTGGTTCTTCATTATATGCCACCTCCTCAAATAGCTGTGCATTGATTAACTAGTTTTGGTGCATTCTGTGTATTCCTTCTGTCTTATTTTGATGTTTCTGGCATCATTCAATATTTTGTCCATAGCATCTTTCAACATTGCAACTCAAGTGTTGAATTTTTTCTTCAGTTCTTTGAGCTTGAGAAATGCCAAGTGTGTTCTTCCCTTTTGGTTTCTAACTCCAGGTCTTAGCACATTTCATTATAATAATTAACTTTGTCTTCTTGAGTTGCTTTTTGAAATCTTCTGCTCAGCTTTTTTATCTTGTCATTTCTTCCATTTGCTTTAGCTACTCTCCATTCGAAAGCAAGTTTCAGAGTCTCTTCTGATATCCATTTTGGTCTTTTCTTCCTTTCCTGTCTTTTTAATGACCTTTTGCTTTCTTCATGGATGATGTTTTTGATGTCATCCCACAATTCATCTGCTTTTAAATCACTGGTGTTCAATGCATCAAATCTGTTCTTTAGATGATCTCTGAATTCAGGAGGGATATAATCAAGGTCATATTTTGGCTCTTGAGGACTTGTTTTAATTGTCTCCAGCTTCCACTTGAACTTGCATATGAGCATATGATGGTATGTACCATAGTCAGCTCCTGGTCTTGTTTTGACTGAAGATATTAAGCCTCTCCATCACCTCTTCCCACAGACGTAGTTGATCTGATTCCTGTGCAGTCCATCTGGCAGAGTCCACATGTATAGCTGCCATTTATGTTGCTGAAAAAAGTATTTGCAATGAATAAGTCATTCGTCTTGCAAAATTCTATCATGCAATCTCCAGCATCATTTCTATTACCAAGGCCATATTTTCCAACTACCAGTGATTTTTCTTTGTTTCCAACTTTTTCATTCCAGTCACCAGTAATAATCAACACATCTTGATTGCATGTTTGGTTAATTTCAGACTGCAGATGTTGGTAAAAATCTTCAATTCTTTGGCTTTGGTGGTTGGTGTGTAAATTTGAATAGTAGTAGTATTAATTAGTATTCCTTGTAGGCATATGAGTATTATCCTATCACTGACAGCACTGTACTTCAGGATAGATCTTGAAACATTCTTTGTGACAATGAATGCCATGCCATTCCTCTTCATTTTGCCATTCCCAGCATAGATCATAAGGTTGTCTGATTCAAAATGGCCAAAAACAGTCCATTTTAGCTTACTAATGCCTAAGATATTGATCTTTATACATTTCATTTCATTTTTGACAACTTCCAATTTTCCTAAATTCACACTTCATACAGTCCATGTGCCAATTATTAACGGATGTTTGCAGCTGTTTCTTCTCATATCATGTCACATCAGCATGTGGAGGTCCCAAAAGCTTTACTCCATCCACATCATTATGGTCACTTCTACCCTGAGGAGGCAGCTCTTCCCCAGTCGTATTTTGAGTGGCTTCTAACCTGAGGGGCTCATCTTCTGGCACTATATTGGACAATGTTTCAGGGTTACTCATATCAGATAGTGTTTCACTGCTATTTGTAAAGTTTTCACTGGCCAATTCTTTGAAACCTGCCTACCATGGGTAACCCTGCAGGTATTTGAAATACTGGTGGCACAGCCTTCAGCCTCACAGCAACATGCAAGCCACCACAGTATGACAATCTGACAAACGAGTGGTAGATTATTATAATGAGTATATTAATAATACTTCTGGTGGCATAGTGCCTAAGGCATGTGACTGCTAACCAGAAGGCTGGCAGTTAAAAAACAACAGCCACCCCTTGGAAGGAGGACTGCGCAATCTAATTCCATAGAGATACTGCCTAAGAAACCCAAGGAGGGGTCACTATGAGTCAGATTCGACTTGATGGCACTGAGATACTACTGCATATTATAAACTTATTATAATATGCATTATTGTACTGTTAAGAGTCTTAGGTAGGTTATGAGCCTTTCTTTATCTAAACTGATTTCAAGTGCACGAATAAGCTGATTACCTTACAAAGACAATGTAATTCGTATTTGCCTCTGGTCTCCTATGTTTCTGTGTCTATGGTAACTACTATTTGATTATGGTCCATCCATTTACTGCTCTTACTTCGTTCTTGACGACCTACTAATAGTAGGGATGCATCTAATAGTTTCTAAGTCATTCTAAGTAGTCTATACCAGGGCAATGGTTGCTTCTGCAGAAAACAGTGGAACTATGTAGTTCCATCATACATTATCACAGATATGCAAGAATCCTGGTTTTGCGAATCAGTGGACCCAGTCTGGTAAAATTCTAGTCACAGGATTATATAATTAAGAATTCATCCTGCAGATTAAGTGTACCTAATCAAGTTTACCACCACTCATCTGTCAGTTTGTCATACTGGGTTGGCTTGTATATTCTGTGATGGTGGAATCTATAACACTGCCATTTCAAATACCAGCAGGGTCATCCATGGTGGACAGGTGTCAATGCTGCTTCTAGATTAAGACAAACTAGGAAGAAGGACCTGGCAAGTTACTTGTAAAAAAAATTGGCCAGTGAAAACCTTATGAATAGCAGTGGAAGACTGTCTGATCTAGTGCCAGATGAAGGAATCATTCAAATAGAACAAGGTGATAATGTGTGGTTTAAATCAGAAAAGGCGTGTGTACAGGTTGTATTCTTTCACTAAATTTATTCAATCTGTATGGTGAGCAAATAAACGAGAAGCTGGGCTATATACAAAAGAATGTAGCATCAAGATTAGAGGAAAACTCATTAACAACCTGTGATATGTAGATGACACTACCTTCCTTGTCAAGAGGATTTAAAGCACTTACTGATGGAGATCAAGGCTAGTCTTCAGCACGGATTGCACCTCAACTAAAGAAAACTAAAATCCTCACAATTGGACCAACAAGCAAATCATGATAATTGGAGAAATGATTGAAGTTGTCAAGGATTTCATTTTACTTGGAACCACAATCAATGCCCATGGAAGCAGCAGTCAAGAAATCAAATGGCATAGTGCACTGGATAAATTTGCTGCAAAAGACCTCTTTAAAATATTAAAAAGCAAAGATGTCACTTTGAAGACTAAGATGTGCCTGACCCAAGCCATGGTATTTTCAAATGCCTCATATGCATGTGAAAATTGGACAATAAATAAGGAAGACTGAAGAAAAACTGATGCATATGAATTATGGTTCTAGCAAAGAATACTGAATATACCATGGACTGCTGGAAGAATGAATAAATCTGTCCTGGAAGCCAAAATGCTCCTCAGAAGTGATGATAATGAGACTTTGTCTCATGTACTTTGGATATGTTACCAAGAGGGACCAGTCTCTGGAGAAGGACATCATACATGGTAAAGCAGAACATCAGTGAAAAAGAGGAATACTCTCAAGGAGATGGATTTACACAGTGGCTGCAAGAATGGACTCAAACGCAGTAATGATTATGGGGATGGCGCAGGACCAGGCAGTGTTTCTTTCTGTTGTACAAAGACTCACTGTGACTCGACAACACCTAACAACATAACAATCAAATCTCCAGATATAGGCGATGTCTCTGAAATAAATATTGCTAGCCTTCATGCTGGGCACTTTATGCTCATTTAGATATGAATATCTGCTGCATGTTGGACATAAAGAAGTAAGATTATCTAGTTAAAAGAAGCAATGGAACAATCATTAGAAAGTTAATTTGGTATAGTGTATATGTATGACTGTAAATGAAGATTTTTTTTGGACTTCATTTATGATTATTGAATATAAATGAAAATAGTTAAACATCACTTCTGTCAAAATTTATGTATAAATGATACAATTCTTAAACTGTATTGCTTTACCTTTTTCCAAAAATACATGGCTGTCACTTCCATCACTCTCTAATAACTGTTCCTCCAATACCATGCTGTCAAACGAAATGGTATCCAATGAGGTTTGTGAGGGGCTTCTTTTCATGTTCTTATAAGAAGCACAGAGTGGAGCCACATTGGGTGGGCAACGGTCCTTATTCTTTCCACTGTTAAGAAACAAAATTATTAGAAAACTATTACAAATAAAGAAAATAATTCTATTTAAAAATATTTCTAACAAAATAAAAAATGTGTACATACTATCTACAAGTTTTAACGTTGTATTTAAAAAGTAAGCAACAAAAAGACAAACAGCCCAATTAAAACCAGGTAAAGGACTTGAACAGACATTTCTCTAAAGAAGACACACAAAAAGTACCTGAAAAAATGCTTAAGGTTATTAGCCATTCCAAAAACCAAACCATTCTCACTGCTATCGAGTCGAATCTGACTCATAGCAACCCCTCCTTGCGTTTCCAAGGCAGTAACTCTACGGAAGTAAATTGCCCAATTTTCCTTCTGAGGAGTGGCTGGTGGGTTTGAACCACCAGCCTTCTGGTTAGCAGTCTAATACCTTAGGCACTACGCCACCAGAGTTCTTCATTAGTCATTAGAGAACTGCAAATCAAAGCCACAATGAGATACCCAAGTCACACTCAATAGGATGGCAATTAATAGCAAAAACACAGAAACTAACAAGTATTAGCTGGGACTGAAGAAATTGAATTCCTTATGTATTTGTAGTGGGAATGTAAAATGGTACAGCCACTATGGAAAAAACTAAAAATAGAATTACCATAACCCTGCAATTCTACTTCAAGGTATATACCCAAGACAATAAACTGATTATAATATGTACTATTATATTATTAACAGTCTTAGGCAGAGACTCAAACAGATCCTTGTACACCAACATTCATTGCATTTTATTCATAATAGCCAAAAAGTGAAAACAAGCCAAGTGTTCATCAACATGTGGTATATCCATACAATGGAGTATTATTCAGCCATAAAGAAAAACGAAATTCTGATACATGCTATGACATGGATGAACTGTGAAAACATGCTGAATGAAATAAGCCAGACACAAAAGGACAAATATTGTATGATCCTACTTATATGAAATATATAGACTAGGCAAAAGCATATACATAAAAGTTCCGTAGTGATACTGCCTCGAAAACCCAAGGAGGGGTCGCTATGAGTTGGGTCCAGCTAGTAGTTATTAGAGGCATGGAGGTAGGAGGAAATGGTAATTATTGCCGAAGGGGTACTGAGTTTCTGTTTAGGGCTAAGTAAATCTTTTGGAAATTAAAAGTGATGATGGCACAACACAATAAAAGTGTTACTGAATTTTAAAATTAAAATAGTTAATATGGCAAACATCTTGGTTAATTTTACCACAATAAATTTAATTTTTTTTTTAGAAAATATAATCTCAAAATGTTTCCTATTTTGTAAACTCTACTCTTCCATATGTTAACTCCAAGAATATTATATTTTGTCATGAAGCTTTCTATTCAAAAACAAAACACAAACACACATACACACACCAAAACAAGTCCAGAATTCTACAATATGTTGTTACCTTAAAGATGGCTGTGATTTAAGTGTTCTAACTGTGGAGACTTCTTCTTTACTGAATTCCAGGTTTTCAGAGAGTGAAGCTGTTTCGGGAACTAAATCTTCAGCTTTGTGAAATAATTCTATAGTTTCATTTTCTTTACCAGTATTTGAAAATACATTTTGGTTTCCACCGCTATCAAATGACAGCATACTTGAATCCTCTCTGTAATGTAACACACTATGTGAACCTACAGAAGAGGAATCCTTTTTGTCACTTATTTCTGATTCAATTTCTCCTGAGCTGCTTTTATAAACAAGGCCACCACTTTCATCTTCACTTATTTTCCCTAAATTTTTATCTGATAAATAATCCATAAAAGAAATACCTTTTTGCAGATTTGTATCACTAGCTGATTTAAAAAGCAAAGGATCCTTCAAAGGGACAGAGCTAAGGTCAACACTCATAGATCTGCTGTCTGCCATATGATTAACAGTTACACTTTTAATCTGATTTATACCACTATTAACTTTTCTTTTTGAAGACAAAATCTCTCCATTTTCTGTTGGCAAATAATCAGGAATAACTGGGCTCACATTTTCAGAAACAGGGGATTTAAGAGTATTTGCTTGATCCACTGGCTGTAGCAAAAGAGCTATTTCAGCACTTTTAAGTAAAATTCCAATGCAAATTGAGGTCTGACTGGCAGGTGTGCCAGTCACAGCTTCTATATCTTTCCTGACATTCTCTGAAAGTAGAAGGAGCGACTCGTGGAGGAAAAGCAAGAGTAGGTACTGGTAGTGATTTATCTGAATACTGACATGTTTATGAATGTGAACCAGAACATGAATATCTGCATCTGATGATGAAGAGGAAAATTTTAAAAATGAATCTGAGGAAGGTTTCTGACCACCATTTGTCAAAGGCTCAGACTCTGTACTGTAATATTCCTTCAAGAGCTTTTTCCGCTTTAATCGGCAAGCCAGATCACTAGATTCACTTTGCGATGTATTTAGAGATACTTGATGGTAAGTCTGTCGCTCTTTTTGTGACTCTGCATATCTTGTTGGTTGACAAATCCAGATGGAAAGAGGGAAAGAGTCCACAAAACTTACTGGCCGTCCTTTTCCACTTTTCATCCCTTCATAGTCTATCCAGAATTGAGAAAAGTATATAGCCCAAACATCTGTGGCAGCAGAAGTTTTTAAAGTGTATTTGTTCAACCTGGGAGGAATATTCCCTTTATAAATGTCATGCATTTTGGTATCTTGTTCATGAGCATGCCTCTGGAAGATTGGATGCAGAAGATTAAAATTGTCACAAGATTTGGGGAAGCTGGTATATGTTTTACTAAAAAAATCACACTCTTTGAAATCTTGAAATAGAGCTTCTAGATCAGAATGTCGACAGTTTGGGCAGTGTCTTGTATTTGTGGCAATCATTTCAGAACTCTGAATAGAAACTGCACGTGGTTGATCTTGATGACTTTCAGATTTCATTTCAGAAGGAATGACAAACTAAAAGGGAAAAAATAATTATCTAGTCACTTTACAAGTTCATATATATTGAAGATAAACAAGATGTAACTTATCTCAGTTCTTTTTAACATTTCCTCCCAAAATAGTATTATCTTATCAGACATGCAATATACTCTATCCTTCAATCTTTTTGTTACACTGAATAAAAGAAATCTAAATGATTGACTATAAGAAAAGAATTTTTTAAGAAAAGAATGTATATTACATATATAATTATTTTTTGCATATAACAGATCACAGAACAAAAAAAAATGCTTTATTTCTATATTTAGCATATTTTAAATCCAAGAGATTTGGGGATGAATGGTAACTAGAATGAGTGGATAGATGTCCACAGAATGAATCACTTTTCTTGAGGAAAACTTGAAAGGGGGAAAAAAAAAACTTAAAAATATAACCCACCAACCAAACCCACAGCCATCATAGCAACACTATAACTGCCCCTAGGGTTTCCAAGGTTTAACAGTATTGAAAACACATTTTGGTTTCCACCGTTATCAAATGACAGCATACCTGAATCCTCTCTGTAGTGTAACACACTATGTGAACCTACAGAAGATGAATCCTTTTTGTCACTTATTTCCATTCAAAGTCCCAAGGTTGGCAGAGCATGGCAGGGTGCTGAACAACGACACAGCTACATGCAGGGTTCATGCATGCCATATGCTAGAGACCATTACCAAAGCTTCTCCTTATATACGGGAAACAGACCACATCCCAAAGGCAGCTCTCAGCTGCTCACAGTAGATTCCACCATGGAGTTGATTACCAGTCTCATCATGAGGAACAGCACATCTAGTGGGATGTACTTTTCATCTTTCTCCCAAAAAGTGGCTGGTGGGTTCAAACCACTGGCCTTTTAGTAGGCAAATGCTTTAACCACTATACCACCAGAGCTCCTTTTAAAAGTAGAGACCTAAGCATTTACTACTATATTTTTCAAAGGATAATTAAATACACTTCTCAAAATATGCATATCAAATAATTTAAAGTGACTGGTTTTAAAACTGCTGACACTCAAAAACAACCTAAAGATGATATAATTCTATCTTAAACTATGATTGTGTTGTAAAATATGTCCCTTTGGATTGAATATTAAAAAATCTTTCAGAAAATATTTAAAAACATGCCTGTAATACAAATGTTAGTTATTATTAACCTCATCTTACAGAAAGATATTAAAGGTATGGTGATAGTTAAGTTTGTGTGTCAACTTGGTTAGGCCTGGTTGAGTAGCTGGGCAGCTACTGGATGTAGTATTCCCCATGATGAGACTGGTAATCAACTCCATGGTGGAATCTACTATGAGCAGCTGAGTAGCTGCCTTTGAGATGTGGTCTGCTTCCTGTATACAAGGAGAAGCTTTGGCAGTGGTCTCTAGCATATGGCATGCTTGAACCCTGCATGTAGCTGTGTCATTGTTCAGCACCCTGCCATGCTCTGGCAACCTTGGGACTTTCAATGGACTAGAATTAATGGCCTGCCATGTGGTTTGGTAACATCGGGACTGTGCCATTTTATTTGTTGACCTTGGGCTTGTTGGCCTCAGCAGCCAGTAGCTGCCTGAGTGAAGAGATCCCTCTAGCTTCAGTGGACCGGAAGCAAGAGGCAGAGCTGAAGCCCAAGGTCGAGGGGCTTTCACACTGCCCCTAGAGCCTGGAACTTTGAACTTGGACTTCTAACCTACCAAAGTGTAAGAGAATAAACTCCTGTTTGTTAAGGCCATCCCATTTGTGGTACGTTCTTGTCAAAGCAGCACTAGGTAACCACAACATTATTAAAAAATAATATACATACCTTTAATATCTTTTCTGTAAAAGAAGTGAGCAAGGGTGGCGTAGTGCCTAAGGCATTTGACTGCTAAACAGAAGGCTGGCAGTTCAAACCCACCAGCCACTCCATGGAAAGAAGATGGGACAATCTATTTCCACAGTAGGAGCTCTGGTAGCATAGTGCCTAAGGCACTTGACTGCTAACCAGAAGGCTGGCAGTTCAAACCCACCAGCCACTCCTCGGAAGTAAGGTTGGGCAATCCTACTTCTGTAGTGATACTGCCTCGGAAACCCAAGGAGGGGTCACTATGCGTCAGATCCGACTCGACGGCAGTGAGTTTGGTTTTATTAGTGTATATTAAAAGATATTAATGGTACGTATATTACCTAGAAACTGAAATTTTCTTCCATGTTCAAGTCTTACTCTATTTAAGGAAACTACACTAGCTCTGTATTTTTAAATTTCCTTCCTTCGAAGCTATAAATATTCATTAACTTCAGATTATCAATGAAAAATCAACTTTCTATTATCTTTGGATACTAATAACTTCATAAATGTGAAACAAAACCCAGATGTAATTTGAAGCTTAACTACATTATTTATTCTTCTTTAAAGAAAAAATTCATCAGCTCTGGTAGAAGTAGAAACAATGACTGATTTGAGTTTTACTTTTATTGCTCAACTACAGAAGGATAAGCAATGAAAAAACACAAATGAAAGGGGAAAACAGCCGTAAGAACCACAAAAACTGGAAAACCGCAGTCTCTAGAGCTTTCATAATTGAGGATCAAAATTAAAACTGAAATTTCAAAATCAAAATTAAGATCACAAAGAAGATTTTTACTTGAATGCCCATATTAAATTCTAGAAATTAAAATGTAATTGTCAAATTTTCTTCCATAAAAATGGTTTTGTTCTCACAGCTACTTGTTTATACAGTACCTTTAGCATTAAACCATCAACTCGAATATCAACATGTTCATCAGACTTTGAATTGTCATTCAACTTGTAGACAGCCATAAACTGACTAAGGCTCTGTTTTAAATCCAACAGAAATTGATTTAACCATAGAATGCTTCTCTCATCCACAGTAAACTGCAGTGCATTTAGCTGGCTATAGAGATTGGGAGATGGAACTGCAAAAAGAGAAAAAATAAAAATTAATGAAAAGATAGTTGTATATGTACAAATTCTCCCTAAAAACAGAAAAGATATTTAAGACAAGTTTTGTGTTTTCTTAATAAAAAAAATGAGATATGTTATTTATAAAATTAAACTGACAAATGTGGTTGATAACAAACACATTTAGATTGAAAAAAAAATTTTTTTATGCTTCACTAATTAAAAAAATAATACAGTTTAATCTAAAACTAGCTATATAGACAGCCAGTACTATGTAGGTTTCTTTTCCTAAGGTTATATTCACCAAGAAGCAAACTTACTTTCTTGGTAAAGTTTCACTTCAAACTGTGGTCCTCAATCACATGTTTCTGAAAGTACTCCTACTATCTGAATATGACAATAAGAGAACAAAGTCTAATGACCAATTTCCTATTGATCTGGTATGCTAGGCAGATCTCCTCGAGAAGACTGACGATGCATGTATACTCAGCATATATTAACTCACATATATATATATATATATGTTGTTGTTAGGTGCCGTCGAGTCGTTTCCAACCCATAGTGACCTTCATGCGCAGCAGAATGAAACACTGCCCGATCCCACGCCAGCTCCACGATCCCTGCTATACTTGAGCCTATCATTGCAGCCACCATGTCAATCCATCTCGTTGAAGGCCTCCCCCTCTTCTGTCGACCCTCCACCCTACCAAGCATGACATCCTTCTCCAGGGAATGGTCCCTTCTGACAACATGACCAAAATAGATGAGATGAAGTCTGGCCATTCGCA